TGTCAAATGTATGCTCTTGTATAGTCTTCGGGGATCATGCTAGAGAAACGGATGGAGGCAATTCTCATGGACAAGATGACAAGTGAGGTGCTGATGCACAAGTTTCATATACACATTAGAGATTATGGCCCTTCCAGGCATAAGCAGCAGCATCGTTCGTCCTGGCTGTTCAGCTTGGAGAGCCTTTCCACAATTTTTTTGACCTCAATGCAACGACGCAACCGAAAGGATCATCGAACTACAAGGAGTGTTGGAGCTCCATCCAAAGCTTTCACCACATCGACCAGTAGTGGAAGGGGGAGCACTCGGAGGAGTCATTGCTCAACAATCGGATCTTCATGGCACAATGGTGGTCGACATACGACAACAACCACAATGCAGAGTCGTCAAAGTTCTACGCATTTGGACCATGACATCTCCTCGCGAGAGGAACTGGTGCACATTCGACTTGTGCACACCAAAAGAGCCAATCTCTTGCACCTGTACACCCGTCAAGAATTGGAACATGAAGATTGTTCGGATGCCAAAGAAGAAGATGGGTTCCATAAACAATGAGCGCCTCAAATGGGAGACCGCGTATGATGGATTGATAATGCACCACATGATGGATTCGTGCAGAACGAGGAGTACGAGCCCAGCAAGGTCCAGAGCAGGGTTACGAACAGGTCCAAACAGGCAAACGCTTGTCGAAGGCCACATGACTTAGAGGAGGCCCAGGATGACGAGGCATAGTTGAAGACCCACACACCCAAGGCTGGTTTTTGCGAGCATGATGTTTGTGGAGGAGGTGGACAAGGATACGGAGGACCAGGATGAACTTGTTGGTGCGCAACTAGTCAGTCATCACCTCCTTTGTGTGGAAAGTTGTCTGGAATGAGTGCTCATATAGGGGATGCTGATGCTAGAAATGAGACTCGAACATCTCACAGGAAAGATGCAGCAGCTGAAAATCGTGCAGGTTGTTGGAGACTGCTGGGTCACGATCTTGCAGCCCCTACCGTCTTCACCCAAATAGAACGCCTGATCATTATCGCTGTAACCAGACTGAAAGTTGCCCCAAATACAGCAATAATGATCGGTGGTTGTATTCAGGAGAAGACGGTAGTAGTCCTGCAGTCGGTGGGAGTTCAACACTCAATGGGGATGCGGCTGTGGATGTGGACATCAGTGGTGCTGGTGGAGGCTTGCCTTTGGGAAACCGGGTATGTTGTTGCAGGGAAGGTTAGTGGCAAGGCTACTTCTGGTGGGAATGGGAGTGGTGATCGTAATGGTATGAACACCGTAGTGTTCAGGACGTCTTGCAGAGGGGTTTCCTTTGCGTCTACGACACTTAGCCCATGAGGAGTTTGGCTTACTGCTCGCCTCGCCGCCATTCCACATGGAGATGGATGACAATACTCATGCTTGGGGCAGATTCCTTGGACCTATCCCACTTGTCCCATGTAGTGCCTTCATGAAATGTGTGGAAACAGTAGCTACCCTAACACGTTCTGCGTCGTGCGGCAGTCAACAAGGGCGCTGCAGGTTAGTCCACTTGCAGCCTAGTGGCAGCTTGGTGAACGATTAGGTCCACCATGGCAATGATTCAGGTTGTTTTCTTTCTGTGGCCACCCACTGTGATCGAGACTGTGTTGTTCAACCTCTCACCTAAACCGACCTGAATTTCTCCTGTGGGCCACTAAAACTGAACCACTTAGGATGCGAAACATATATTTTGGCCTGGTGCCGGTGGCCATCTCATAACACCTTTGTCTAAAGTTTTCAAAGAAACTTCATACCCAAAACGTAAAAACGATTTAGCTATGAAATCATCAAAAACCTTATCAAATAACCATCGCTTGTTCAAAAAACAATAGCACTTCAGTCTGGTAGGCCAAGCCCCAACCACATCAGGCCGGAGTTGCAGCCACAACAAAAATTGCAGCTGGCTACGTGGACCATTGCAATAGCCATCTGATTATTCACAGTGGCAACCACATATTTTTTATTTATACTTTTTCCCACAGCCTCCCTAAACTGCTATGGGATACAGGAGAGCTGCCCCATGCCCTCCTCATCTAAGAATACAAACTTTGGGGGCCCCTGGCGACAATAGAGTTTCGACCACAGGAAAATTGTTGCAGTGCAGCGTACACATGCTGCAAACTTTCAAGGCTCTGCCTAATGAATCGAAGAGGCTGGCGGCAGCAGCCCAAAAGAAAAAGTACCTGCGCCGTTTCAACAGAACTAGCCAGGCGGCAGAAATCAGCCTCACGAAAAAGAGACTCAGAAGCACTGGTGGTTTACATCGCTACTAAATCGCTTAGGCAGACTTGAGAATCGAAACCAAGTCAATCCGGAATTTTGGGGACTCGAGGCTACCTGGCCACAATGGCTGGCGGCGCCAGTCAAAAAAAAACAATGCGCCGCTGGAAGTTCGGCAAAGCATGGCGTGCAGTGTGCATCCTGCCAGAGCAAAAAGAGGCTTGAATGTACTGGTCACGCAACACCAGCCTTGTAGGATATCTTTCCTCAGAGGCTCGGGGCTACCGGACCACAATGGCTGGCGGCGCCAGCCAGAAAATAAAAGAAGTGCACCACCAGCAGGGCAGCGCCGCCGGGCCCAGGTGGACTGGTGGTTTAATGCTAATGGAAAGGTTCTAGGCAGACAAGCATATGGGGTCAAAGCCATAATTTGTATTCGAGGATAACATGGGGCTCCTATTTGGAAATATTGATTGAAAAAGATCAATGGCTTTGTAAAATAGACCATTGTGCTGAACTTGGGCTTTCAGAATGAGCCCACCTATTAGACACCGCTAATTTGGGGTGGGGTAATGCTTTGCGCTAGCACTGCCTTTTTCACCCATTAACATCGCCTGCCCACCCCACATCACCGTGATGAGGGGCTGGTACAGCCTTGCTCTCGCACCATCGCCAAGGTGCGAACCTACCCTGGGGAGAGATCCAGGTTGGTTGGTGCTCCCCATGAATATGCATAAAGTGGCGAACAGATGAGATAGATGAGGAAAAACATATATAGAGAGACTCAGAGAAGATATATAATGAGCCCACCTACAACCTCAAAAGCCAGCCCACTTTCTCGAAGGTATATTTGGCCAGTTCTACACTCCCATACCCTTGGGGCAGTGGAAAGCAGGACCAGAGTAAGGTTAGACACAGCCATGCATACACACATCCTCTATCTTGGTCCTTAACACGCAAAAGATACACCGGACGCAAGGGGAGTACCCGGGGGGTTGAGCAGAATGCCAAGTACCCCAACTTAAGCAACTTTTAATTCTCATTTCCATTGACGAAAAATTCCAGAACAAATCGGGATGTAGGGTAGGTTTTGCCACTTCATGGGAATCAAACTCCAAAAAGAAACAAAAACGTTTTTGCCCATGATAACAATATTTGCACCGAACAGGATGCATATGGTGAGCATAGTCACAGTGACCAGGTGGGCCAGACGTTTCAGGCTGGGCAGGCCTGCGTTGGTAGTTTTTCTACGTTTCAACAAAGTAGGTCTGCCGTACTGGAGGTTTAACAGCGGGCGAGCAGAAGGGGCTGTCGACTTCATATGGCAGAAAGCAGTAAAGAGGTTTATGTGGTCATCTCATCTCTCTTTTGTTCCCACCATCAGTGTTTAAGCCACCATAGCATCCAGAAAATTGGTGCCATGGCCAAAGGCTGCCAGAAATTTCTGTTGCTATAGGATGTCTGATCCCACAGACCACTATGAACCCAGGAGACACAGTCATGGGGCCAACTGTCCTCGAGCAGGCCCTCAGAGCAATCCATACTCTATGGCATGCTGCGACTGATGTTATGACCACGTGAATGATGTCCTACTAGCAACAGGCAGTAGCGGTTCATTGATCCGCTATACATTTCAGAAACTTATACAGTAGGCATGGGGAAATAAGGTTGCACAAATTTCAAAGCTAAATCAAACATTGTGTTTCAAGTACCCTCCACCCCTGAAAAAACCCTGTGAGGTATACACACCCCATAACCCACCCGGATAACCCCACTACCCCTATTGACAACCTGTGAACATCTGCCCCGGACTCCCCTCTCCCATTTGGGCACCTCCTCAACATTGTCAGCACACCACCAACTCTCTCAGCATTCCCCAACACTCTTACAGCCCGTCTGTGCCCATAACACAATCCAACCTCCTTTCCATAGTTCTTTTCACCCCCTTAAAACCTCAAAGACCACCTCAGCACCACCCAATACTCCTAACCACCTCAACGCACACGCCACCTTCAGTGCCTCTCACGCTACCCTACCACAACCTCAACATCCACAATGTTGCAGCCGCAAAAGGCAACCTGCTTGTTCCTCGGTAACTCCAGTGCACCTCCTCATATGCGCCATGACACCCCCATTACCATCACCTCTTACCCTTACCCGCCTCAACAACCCGGTTCCCACTGCTTGGCACTCCCATTGAGGCAACCCCATGGCCTACTTCATTTCCATCTGCACCTCTGCTCTTCAAGAGACCCTCTCAACAGGCCTCCAAGCCCCGTATACTCGCCCACAAATTCATTCTGGCTCAACGTCCTCACGCCCTCGCTGGACCTACCAAAACCCATAGTACCCCAACTCGACCACCCTAGAGACCCATCGATGCCTCCCCAACTCCCTCAGCAGCCCCCACATCTTTTGCGGCGCTTTCCCATGAGACCCTCTCAACAGCCCTCCGAGCCCCCTATACTTGCCCACAAATTCATTCTGCCTCATCGTCCTCACGCCCTCCTTGGACCTACCAAAACCCATAGTATCCCAACTCAACCACCCTAGAGACCCATTGATGCCTCTCCAACTCCCTCAGCAGGCCCCACATCTTTTGCGGCACTTTTCCCATGCTATTCAAAGTCACTAGACACCCTAGCTGACCCCCTCAACAAACACCTTACCCCTCCCATCCCTCCAAAATCCATGTGCTGCACCAGTGCGGTGCGATGTGCTTGACAAAGAATACGCCTCGGTTGACAGGTACTCACCTTGGCTCATTGCTCTTCTCTATAACTAGAGAAGAATCCTCTATCTCCCTCAATGCTTGCGCAGCGCTTGCAGCATCGCTAAAAATGGCATATGCCGTCAGTTCTGAGGAAATGAAGCAAACAGCACACCAAAACAACCGTTAGAGTTACGAAAAGTGCATTTGGGGACCATAATCTTTCGCAGGTGGTGCAACTACGCGAATACCTTTGATCATTTGAGAAATACAAAGCTGATTGTTTGCATGCACTAGGAGAAGCAACCAGGCATGTTTCACCAGCAAGATTAAGCCTTCCAAAATGACATCAGCCATTTCCAGGCTCCAATGCTGTTTTCCGGGGCCTCAAAGGAAGATAAGGCATCCTAAGTAACAGGGAAGCTGTACAAATTGACGAATACGTAAAGATGATGAAGATTCTAGATCGTCGTTATCATGTCGTTATCATTCTCCTGAAACAAACCAACCTGCCCACCAATAACGGCGCATTCCACAAGAATCAGAGGCGACATACTCCTAGACGTAACAACCTGCCTACGTAAACCACTAGAACGATTCCAAGCCATTTTTCTCCGGCGTGCCTTGCATGCTGCCGCAACTTTTGGGGGTTCGCAGCCCCAGAACAAAATGGGTGGCAGCGCCAGCCAAAAAGAGGCCCGTGCCATTTCATTCTTTTCTTAGTGCGCAGGGCATTCGGTGCCCCGGGCAAGTGGTTCCTAAGCACTGGTGGTTTAAATGCTAGGCGTTGCTAGCCAATAAGGAACACCACCACTTAACCTCAGCTAATGCTGGACCATTACGGACCGAGTATTTGAAGTTCAAACCAAACATGCTGTGGTGCACAGTATAGTGCACCAGATTTTGGTGCGACACACCAAAAATATTCAATGAAGCAAACTATGCAATTACCTCCAATGCAGAGATCAATCTGAAAACATACGGATAATAAAATACCAAGGAGGGCACATTCCATAAGAATCGGAGGCAACATACTCCTAGACGTAAGCCTGCATGGCCAATAAGGACCACCAGTATGTTTCCGAGCCATTTTCCTCCGACGCGGGATATGCACGTGCCGTGAACTTCATGGCACGACCCACTGGAGCTAAATGGCTAGCTGTACCAGCCCAAAAAGAAAACGTGCAAGTCGTTTGCTTTTGGCGCACCTGGCATGGGAAAGGGTCATAAGTACTGGTGGTTTAACCTCAGCTTGATGGGCCAGAGTTGAAACCATATGCACCACAATGTGGCGCGAAGAAAAATATTCGTTATAAAATTCGAGGTTGACAGACCGCCTACCGCCGATGTGACAGCCGACGATTCTCTTGCCTGCCGGTTGTGCGGACCCGTAGGCGGCCTGCGGATCAGTCATTAGAGGGCCGTCCACTGAATTTGTTTTTAATCTGAGTTCGGGCTGTACTGCGCTGGCTGAGCATGGCCCAAATCCGCTGAGAGACTTCTGAGGATGGGCGGGTTAGAGGGGGGGGGGGGG